GCGCAGTCTGCTCTGATTGGCCAGCTGACCCAGTGCATTGTGATTGGCCGAACACCGCAAGCACTCGTTGGAAATGTAACGCCCCTTACCATAATCGCGAGCTTCTTCTTTCAAAATAAATGTAAAGACAGAGCCTGAAAGGGGAACAGAGCCTCGTGACAGACATGGTGATGAATATGTGTTTGCAGTACACAAGCCATGGTTAAGACAGCTGACTCCACTGTGATGTGACCCTGTCTCTCTCTCTCTCTCTCTCTCGCGCTCGCTCTCTCGTTCACTCGCTCGCGCACACACACACACGATGCGCAAAACTCCGCATTTGTAGTCAATAGCAAATACTTAAACTAATAACAAAACAGTAGCTGATTCAGAAGCACCAGATTGTCATAGCAAAGTCAGAATTACCTCCTCTCCTAGGTTCACGAAACGGTCGTCCATAAAATGTATTGCTGTTCTGTTGTAAGTAATCTTTAAAGATTCCTAAATGCATCTACTTTCGGAAGGCCAAATAAAGTGCTTTTGCTTTGGCATAGAAACACACAGCGTCTCCCTTACATGGCTGCATCAACACTAACTGCGGTTACTGAAACCACGCCTTCTTTCTTTGCGTGCACATTTGAGCGGCATTATGCAAATATTTCCACATGAGGTAGATATGTGGGGGCGTGTTAGACCGAGCCGTTTTAGGGGGGCGTGGCAGAGTCTTAACTTTGATAAAGAATATCTCTTTGGCTTTGAGACTTTAGTCTTTGCAATAGAGACCTGTGCGGGACGGATTTTTCCGTCCTGCTCCCGCAGAAATATATCTTATCTGGTCCCGCTCCCGCCCGCGATACATTAAATATATGCACAATGAATCTTTCACAGTGTCTACACTTCGTGTGTTAAAATGAGAGGATTCCTGAGCACGCAATTTCAGCACTGCGGTGAGTAGATTCTAACTTAATCACCTCTGATTGGCCATTACGTTCCAGAAATCAACCCCTGAGTCTGTGATTGGCTACATTGCGCAACCCTTTAAACACGTGTTATAAATAGAAACTATGCCAGCTTGCGCAGGTCAATCATTTTAATGTTAATATTAGTTGTTCTTTTTGCTTTTGTGCAACAGATAAATAACAATTTATATGTTTTAGACACTTTATGTTTAAATAATTTCTATTTTGCGGAAGTCCCACGAATAATTGTATTCTCCCACATCCCGCACACACACGAGTCTCTTCCCGCCCGCACTCGCCCTTCAAGAGTTGTCCCGCGCTGTACCCTGTTACGTTGGGTCCCGCGGTACTCCCACGGGAGTGCAGGTCTCTACTTTGCAACTTCAGGGATCTTGATTCATATCTGTAGCAGCTATGCTGGATGAGGTACACACCAAAGATTAATGATTGGGGTTTGCTCAAATTCTTAACTTAACTATGCACATTTTTTATGTTTGCCTTAGCAAACACTAATGAGGTGTCTTCATGTCTTGTTCTTGGGTTCTCTTTGTTCTTTTGAGGGATTTATTGCTTATTTCGCACCTTTCTTTTGAACATTGACAGGTATGCTGCAGTGTAATGTGGGAAAAACACCAACAACATGAATGATGGTCAATAGCCCTGCTGCAGTTAGGAAGTGCTGCATGTACTGTAGACTCCTCTGATTGTGCTTTGCTGACGTAAGTCCCCTTCCTCAGTGGAGGAGGGGCATTGGATCTGTTTAGTGCTGGTGCGTGAGCGACAGGGGAGGGGAAAAGCTTTGTCGCCCAGCCTCCCTGCCCTCCACAGGCAGTTGATGATCACATCTGACAGCTCGGGGTGGAAGTTGAACGGCTCAGAGCACTGGGTCTCCAGTATCTACTCCTCCCCTGTGAGCAGCTCTCAGCTGCTTTCTCTGCACCAGAGCCTGGCTTTGGCTCTTTGTCAGCGCATGGGGGTGCGGGCAGACGAGCGGTGTGAATATATCATGTACACAATAGAGTGAACGAGTGCAGCGCGACCATGAAAGCCCAGCGAGAGAGGCTGAGGATTCCGGGGTTGACATTGGAGTGAGTATTTTCCCTTCTCTCTCACGTCTTCTCTGGCTGGGATGACAGCAGGCTGTTTATCTGCAGTGTGTCTGTCGCTGTAGTGGTGACGGCACATCTGAGCTGAGCAGTGCAGCATTACCACAGTAGCAGCGTCTGCAGCATGTGTTGAAGGGTAAATATAGGTTTGCTAGCTTGTGTAGATCCAGCTAGTGTCCCTTTGCGGCAGCTTTGCATGTGATTTTTTTTATTTTTATGGAACGGGCTCATGTTTGGATAAAAGACGATGATGCTAGATCAATACAGGATCATCTTCTAGCCATGGCTTGTCAGACTAGAGCCAGAAGGACTTGCGCAGCAGCTGGTGACCTGCCTTTCTGTTTTGCTGTGCTGACATCTCCTCTCACAGCATTTATACTGTAGCTTTTGATCGCCATCGCTTACTAAATTAACTGGTTAAATCCCCCCTACAGAAGGCCTGTTTGTTGTCGACCTGTTAGCAGGTCAAAGACGCCACAATACTGTAGTGTTTGGTGCAGCGACGTAAACGGTTAATCTCTCATCATACTCGATTGGCCATTGATGTTTTGATAAGATGAGATGCCTTTGTTGTTGTTTACAGGGGTCGCAAGAGATGCATGTTTGCAGCTGTGATCAGGTGTTGCATCATGGCTGCTGTTGCTAAGGATACAGATACATGCGTATCTCCTGGACATGTCAGCTCAGCAGTTTCACCTGACATGTTTTGTTTCTCCGCAAAAGCAATGCTTGATAAACGCATGATATTTGTAGATTAACAATTATTTTTGTGAATGTTTTAATGTTAATTAAATTGGAACATGTGGCCAGTCTGTATAATGTCAACAAGTATACAATAAAAAAACATTTCATGTATAGGCAATGAAATGAAATGGACCATTGATCACAAAACGATGTCTTACCCGAAATGCCTTCAATGGTCATGCATGATGCTGCTCTGTGGTTAATGCATGCCAGTTCGTGTATGTCTCTGCACTCATATAAGCTCTCAACTTCAAAAACTACATCCTGAGAAAGACTATTCTTGTCCACGATGAACATTCACAAAACTCAATTTGACTTTCAGCCTCACTCCACGAAGCTTGAGTCCAACTCCCACAAGCCCTTGCAGCCCATGCAGCCCGCTGCACGCATTTCATTTTTGGAGGTAAGCGCGTGCTTCTTTTACATAGCCATTTTGTTTTGAGGCTTACCGTGTTCAAGGCTCTGTGTTCCGCCACTGAAAATGAAAGCATGGTGTTCTGTGATCAAAACGGCACAGGGTCTTTATTCATTTACCTCTTTTGAGTTTTATTTTTTTTACATTTGAAATCTTTGAATGGGATTTTATTGTCTAAAACTGTGGGGAATAGCTTTGTTTCTTGTGCTTATATAACATTCTTATATTCACCCCCTTCCCCCAACCTTTTTGGTGAGTCTCTCATTCGCCCTCTTTTATGTGATAAATAGGATTTGCTGCTTTGGCCATTGAACATTTTGGTGGAAAGAGCTCTGCACCATTTCTGGTGGAATCCAGGTCATTTCAAAGGATTAAAAATGAGGAACTGTGGCAGCGATTACTTTTACGGCAAAGACAAAGGAAGCATTTTTGAGAAAGCAAGACTTTTTGAATAGTATGTTTTTTAGACTTTGCTAACACAGTGAATTAACCAATTGGAAAAGATTGTGGTTTTAAAGGTTAGAGTACATTTCATAAGGAGTTTACACAAAATGCATTAATTTGCCTTTAAAAATACAAAAATAAATACATTCAGACAAAGTCTAATTTATATATTATATTATATTAGAGATAACACTTTAAAGCAAGTGTGGTGACTTTGTGCTTTATGAACATGCATTGGAGCTCTTGACGGTGAATGCGGGTAGTCACAAAATCAGAAACCCCTTCCTTTGAAATTTGATCACAAATGGTCACCGGAGACTCATTTGAGACGCATGTTGTTACCTGTTAACAGCAAAGTGTCTGAGCTCACACTCTTGTAATCGAATTATTCAGGACAGGTTTTAAGACCAAGTATAACCATGTCTATTGATTGCTTGAATCAACACTCATTTCTTGAGTGAAAATTGACAATCATCACATTTTGTTGAAACTTCCTTTTGTTTCACAGCTTTGCTTCCTTTTGTTTGTTGCTATATGCTTTGTAGCCTGTTCTAGAATTACATTGGGAAAAAAAAAAAAACTGTGAACAGCACAGCCAATCTGCTTTTGCTTGTCATCAAGTAAGTCTTTGGCTTGCTGATGAAATGGGTCATTGAGCTGTTTGAACTAGATTGATTAGTTGGCGTTTACACACAATAGTTGTGAAACTGTTTAGATGATAAGGAGGTCATAACTGCATTACAGAACATTCATATGCATGGTTTCTGAAAAATAATATGAAAAGTCTTGAGAGTGCAAAATGCATTCCTTGATAAATGAGTGGCTCACATGAAGCTAAAGAAAATTCCACAGATGTCTGTAGACTTGCAACAGCTGTCATTCACATACCCCACCCTTCAAGGGTTTGTTTATTGAATATTTTGTAAAATTGTATTATGCTTCCAATTACCAATACAAGTATAGTACTATCAGCTTTGGTACCCCAAGAATTGTGAAAATGCTGAAGAGTTTTGTGTTTTGCTTAGACTTGGGCATACAAGCCTTTCAAAGTCTACCCCACTGGACGTGAGTGCGGATGGATCTATTGGATCTTTCTTTTCAGGTGCTCAAATCACTTTTACTACATGGTCACAGTAATCAGGCTTCGCACAGACAGTGCACACAGATATCAGCAGACTGTGCTAATAAAATGATGTCTCACAGATTTTCTGCAAGCCAAAGCAGAATGCGGACAAGGAAGGTATACACTGAGCTAGGGATGCACCGAAATGAAAATTCTTGGGCGAAGCCGAACAAAATTAAACACTGGGCCGAAGACTGAATACCGAACATGGTTTTTCACGGTTTTCCCCATGTATCTTGCCAGTTTTTTTTCACCATTGCACAAGTTAAATAGCCATACTGTGCTTTTTACTGTTTTGTCTTAAAACTGAATTAAATTTTTTTTGACTTTCTAGCAGACATTTAGTCTGTAGACTTGCAACAGCTGTCATTCACATACCCCACCCTTCAAGGGTTTGTTTATTGAATATTTTGTAAAATTGTATTATGCTTCCAATTACCAATACAAGTATAGTACTATCAGCTTTGGTACCCCAAGAATTGTGAAAATGCTGAAGAGTTTTGTGTTTTGCTTAGACTTGGGCATACAAGCCTTTCAAAGTCTACCCCACTGACCGTGAGTGCGGATGGATCTATTGGATCTTTCTTTTCAGGTGCTCAAATCACTTTTACTACATGGTCACAGTAATCAGGCTTCGCACAGACAGTGCACACAGATATCAGCAGACTGTGCTAATAAAATGATGTCTCACAGATTTTCTGCAAGCCAAAGCAGAATGCGGACAAGGAAGGTATACACTGAGCTAGGGATGCACCGAAATGAAAATTCTTGGGCGAAGCCGAACAAAATTAAACACTGGGCCGAAGACTGAATACCGAACATGGTTTTTCACGGTTTTCCCCCATGTATCTTGCCAGTTTTTTTTCACCATTGCACAAGTTAAATAGCCAAACTGTGCTTTTTACTGTTTTGTCTTAAAACTGAATTAAATTTTTTTTGACTTTCTAGCAGACATTTATACCAACAAGGCACAATTTAACTTAAAATTAATAAGCCATTTTTGAGACCCCTTTCTTGAATCAGTTATGTATTTTTTACCATACAATGCAGCCTTGCTGAACAGAAGAGAAACCTTTAAAACATTAGAAAATATTACAGATCCCAATTTGAACACTGTGTGAATGTTATAATAAATGTATTAGTAGAGCTACTGTAATTATTATTGTCTTTTTTATAAAAAAAATTAATAAAAATGTTACTGAGCAACTGACAATAACACTGTTTCAGCTCAGATTTTCCTCGTGCTTTGGACTTTAAACCCTGGCTAACAAGCAGATAGCGCTGCGAGCTCGTGCAGCGCTGTCAGAATACATGCATGTATTAGAAAGCATAACGTTCTGCAGTTTATTTAATTGTTTACGTCCGTTTCGCGATTTCAGTCATCATACAGTAACCAGCAACAACCGAAGAGAAACCTTTAAAACATTAGAAAATATTACAGATCCCAATTTGAACACTGTGTGAATGTTATAATAAATGTATTAGTAGAGCTACTGTAATTATTATTGTCTTTTTTATAAAAAAAATTAATAAAAATGTTACTGAGCAACTGACAATAACACTGTTTCAGCTCAGATTTTCCTCGTGCTTTGGACTTTAAACCCTGGCTAACAAGCAGATAGCGCTGCGAGCTCGTGCAGCGCTGTCAGAATACATGCATGTATTAGAAAGCATAACGTTCTGCAGTTTATTTAATTGTTTACGTCCGTTTCGCGATTTCAGTCATCATACAGTAACCAGCAACAACCACCCCTTCCTCTTCTCATCGAAGACATGCGATGCAGTACTAAACACTCTCTTGTGGTCTGTGCTTATAATGATTTTTGCATCTTTCTCTGTAAGTTGTAAATGTTTCCACACTGCAGACGGGTTTGCTGCATTAGCGCGTGCCTCTATTTGATCACATCATGTCATTGTTCGGTACAATTTATTCTGTCTTTTCGCTTATTCGGCCAAACACCGAAAGAGCTTTTTTTTGCTATTTTCAGCCAAATAATTTCCGTTGCCGAATATTTGGTGCATCCCTACTCTGAGCTTTATATGCTAAGAAAGATAACTTGCAGTTGGTTGAATCAGACCACTGCTATTGTTTTTGGTTCATCATCTCCAAATTGGAGCACCAAAAACAGTGCATACAGATATAGAGCACAGGCTGACACAGAAGAGACTAAGCTTGTTCCCAGATTTAAGATTCTATAGGTCACTGGCCTTGCAGGAAGAGATAAGAAGTTATGAGACACTGAGCTAGACTTTGCTCACTTCATGTGTGACCAGCTTTCTTATGATTATGTCCATATCTGAAGCACTCTTTGAAGGTTTGATTAGTTGTCTGCGTGCCTGGTTTAGTTTTGTGCTGTTTTAGGCTTGTCCCAACTTGTCACTAGTGGCTAGCGTCCCCTCTGCATTCAACGGTTAATTGTCGAGGACGAGTGGCCCCATTCCACCCCTCCGACTTCATCTGCCATGTGTCAGGGAGGTTGGGCCTCTCCATGTCCCTGCCTGCCAAAAGAGCAGATTGAAGAACAGAACAGGAGGAGATCAAAGGTGCTGAAGTGGAAGAGAGAGGGTGGTTTTCTTCATATGGCAGGTCCAGAGAAGGAAAAAAAGGAGAGGGGTGAAGAAACTTGGCTACAGTGTGCAGGACTTGCACAAGGTTATGGTTGAAAAGCTGTGCATTTCCATTTCAAATGGTCCGATGGCTTCTGGAGCGGGGCCAGACGGGGAGAGCCGTGATTGCATTCACTGCATCGTCTGCTGATGATGCATTGCTGCTCTGACTCATGCCCCCCTCCCTTCCTTTCCTTTCCTCTCCCCTCCCCGCCTCAGGATGTGGTACGGTAGGTGCCTGTTATATGATATGGAGCGTGCCTGAGTCTCAATGAGTCTATGGGATAGCAGCAGAGCCGTGCAACTTTCACATCAAAACAAAAAGTCATTCTGCTGGAAGCGGTCCTGTCCCTCTGTCCCAGAGGCACCCAGCATTTGAACAGGAGCGGATATGACCTGAATAGGAAACAGCTCAGAGGAGCTTTCACACTCTTCGATTTAGGACACTTCAAAGGGCACACTGTCCCCCTTGACAGCCTGTGTATGCTGCAGAGAGCAGCAGATGTGCGTGGACGAACCTCTGTAGTGACAGAGCGTTGCCCTGGGAGGACTTACCGGGACTCTTGCGTTGGGTGCCTACTTCTCGTGGAAGCCAGGCATTTTTCCTCACTCTCTTTTCCAAAACAGCTCAGAGCACTTTGGGGGCATGACTTTGGGACAATGACCGACTCCAGCTTTTGGACTCTACTCTCCAACTTTTCTATGCCTCACTTCATTGGTGGAGCAAGATTACGGCGCTCCAAAAGGTAAACGAGTTGATTGCTTGTCACTACTGTCGTTGGGTTTTTAGGTGGTAAACCTCTGTCAAAATTTAAGTCAGTTGAAGTTAGACGAGAACAATATGGTAATGCAGGTGCTGTGTTTTCTATTGTGTTAGATTTCCGTTGTGAATGGTGAACTGGAGTACCTCTTGATTGTAATCAGGGTGTTATTGTTCAGTCCATACAGCAGGCACAAAAGATGTTTACGTATGTGCGTAATTACTGTGCATTTGCCTAAATATACATGTTGAATGTGAGGAAAATGGATTGTTCTCTAAATCCTCCTGAAAAGAGCTGGGCATCTCAATGTTATTTGACAGATACAGTCGGATACACTGCTCTCGCAGGAAATGCTGAAGTTGCGCCGTATCCTTTTCACCTCTCATGTGACGAGGCCAAACCGTCACCAAAAGGCCAAAAAGCCATACTATAGATATCTCTGCTAGCAAACATTCATGTGCATTTCTGCTTGTGCTTTTCCATCTTGCGCACTTTTTAATCCTGGGAATGACCTATTTTACCATTGATGATACAGTTGATCCGATTAGTATCATCAGGCTGAGTAAATCAGACTGAATCTATCATTTATGTTGAAATAAACTAGTTGTGGAGAACATGCAAAGAAAATATGATTGTGCTTTCTTCACAGTGCTGTTTATTAGTTTGTACTGGGTGGAGGTTTCAGTAATGAGTAATGTCTTTATCTGTAAAAACTTTGATAATGGCACTCACTCAGATGTTACACCACTAGCAAAGTGGTGTATTCCTTCTGTGTTCAACTAATAAACAATATAAGAACTACATTTTATGTTGTGTATATACTAACGAAATGCATGATGTGTCCATCTGTCAAAGAGATCTTCATAATTTATAGTACTGACCTTGATTTATGCTCTCAAATCTAAAGTTCTTGCTTTCAATCATGTTTTTATAGCTCTCTTTTTGTATCTGACAATAGCGGACTCAAATGTCTGCAGTATTCTGAAATGTTGGCCATGAATAAAACCCATCATGTGTTGACACGAGTTAGATAAGTGCCACTTGTAAAGTAATTTAGTAATCAGAGCTTTCTTTTTTCATTTTTGTATTTAATGGCCTGGTAAGATATAGTTGCATAAATCGTACTTCCAGGCAATGTTTAAAAGTGAAGCTACATGTTTTGCTGGTACTTGATAAATTGAACATCATATAATTAACATTTATATAATGAATACTGTAGTTATATGCAAAGAACAATAATGGATTTAAGTCTGCCTAAGAAAAGACCGACTGAGGCCAAGCCAATAAAAAAGATAATTAAAGAGACTGCTTTACAATTAGCCTTTGTAAAGTGTCTGTAAATGCCTGAATGATTAGTCAGTGATGAAAGCAAAATGTCTGCTCTCAAGTGGCAAAACCGTGACTGATCCTTGATTCAGTTATTATGTTGCTTACAGTTATTTTTATGTGGGTTTCCTTCAAATGTAGCATAGAGCTAATGCATTTTCATTATAGCTATACTGCAAGAAGTGTGGAGCTGAGCACTGTCCATTTCTAATCTGCCTGTGTATAGCAGCTGTATAAGTAGCAAAATCTGATCCTCTTTAACTGAGCATTCGTGAACCAGATATTATTCGGAATCATGCTACATATTTAAAGGGGTCATATCATGACAGGACTTTCCTTGCTCTTTTAAAGTAAAGGTATACTGTTAACTTTCAAATTCTTAACTCTATTACCAGTTTAAAACACAATTTACTGCAAAAATAGCTTATTATGACATCTTAACATCATAACAATAAGCTCACTACAGTATCATATGACTGCCCATGTTTGCATATTCAAGTTACATGTCTCTACATATCTGAAGTC